TTTCTTGTCCCGACACTACAAACCCTTCGGGTTACTCCATATAGATCACTGCATTTAGATCACCGTTTAAGAAAGCTGTCTTAACATCCATTTGATGTATTTCTAAATTAAACAACGCTGTTATAGAAATAAGCATGTGAATGGATGTTATTCTTGTCACAAGGGAATATGTGTCAAAAAAAAAAAAGTCCAGACCTTTCTTTTGCCTGTAACCTTTAACTACAAGTCGTGCTTTATACTTGTCAATTGAACCATCTGCTTTCATTTTTCTCTTGAATATCCATTTATATCCAAGAGGTTTAGAACTTGATGGAAGATCCACCAATTCCCAAGTATGATTTTGCATAATGGATTCAATTTCATTATTAACAGCCTCTTTCCACAAAGGTGCTTCAGGACCTGTCATTGCTGCCTTAAAGCGTTGAGGTTCATTTTCTAAAAGGTATGTCAGCAAATCTGGACCAAAGGATTTTGAAGTTCTCGCTCTCTTACTTCGTCTTGGTTCATCATCAGTTAAATCCTGTTGATCGAGACTATTACTAGTCTCTTGTGTTTGATTGTCATTAGTCTCTTGACTTTGTGTACAATCATAAGTTCTTTTCTAATCTGCGTCTGGGATGCTGCTGAGAGTCGTCCACAACGCCGATCCTCGTCCTCGACGCCGATCGTCCTCTGCGCGACGCCGATCGTCCTCTCCGCAACGCCGATCCTCCTTCGTCGTTCAAACTGATTTTTGTATGTGTATGTTACATGTGTTTAGACAGTATGTATATATACAGATTTTTTATTTTTATTACACAGGTATAAATACATACACAGTATGGTGTTGTATATAGATTGGTACATGTATGGTGTTGAAACAAATTTTTCTATGTATATATATTACACAGCATGTGTTGAAACAGATTTTTTTATTTTTATTTTTATTTTTTTTTGTGGAACGATTATGCTGTTGTTGATGTTGTTGATGGTATTGTTGACCATAACAGATTTGGGCCGGGGAATTTTCGGGGTCGGGGAACCCCGATCCCCGTTAGGGGACGGGGATGGGAACGGTGATAGGATCCCCGTCGGGGATCGGGGCCGGGGACGGGGAGACATTCTCAATCGGGGATCGGGGACGGGGAGGGTAATCCCCGGCCCCGCCCCGCCCCGTTGCCATTCCTAGCTATCAACCTGGTTAATGATTCATGTGACATAGTGTTAGAAAGTGGGTTGGTTTTTTAAGTGGTTAGTTGGGGTTAAGAAACTTCATTTGGAATGAGTTGTTTTGGCTTTTTTTAATTTTTGTGAGAGAAAGAATATAATGATTATGAGTTAGATGTGATGTTTTGTTTTATTGGACTAAAAAATCTATTTTGGTCACTTTTCAACTTTTAACCTACTTCTCTCTCTTACAAAAAGTCAAAAAAAATTAAAAAATAACTTTTAACCATCTTTTCAAAATACTCCTTTATTTTTTTGTGACTATTTTAATCAAAAAAAATTCTAAACCTAACTTCCCAAACGAGCTATAGGCCTGTTTGGTAGAGCTGTGGGAAAGTGCTTATAGCTTATGTCTTAACAGCTTATACCTTATAAGTATGAACATAAGTTAATTTCTGACTTATAAATTAAGCATCTCCTGTCCCACTTAAAGAATAAGCTGATTTCTGACTTACAAAAAGCTATAAGCTACAAGCTACATTGTTAAGATAAACCAAACATATCAAAATAACTTAAATTAAGCTAAAAACTGAAATAAATAGCTTTTAAACTGCACCAAAAAGGCACATAGTATAAGTTCAATATCATTTCTACAAATATTTCAATATCAGTTCAACATAGTATAAGTTCAAAACCGTTAAAGCTTCACAAATATTTCTACATGTAGTCATGTTTTAAAGATGATCAATATCATTTATTGGAATAGACCTTACATCTGTTTGAAAAAAGAACTAGTCTATCACCCGTGCTTTGTACGGAATAATTATACATATTTATATTTGTTTTAATTTTTTTACTATATAAATTATGTTTTTAAAGATTTTTTATAAAACTAATTTAACAATCTTATCACTAACCATAGTGTACAGGAGAAATTAAAAAGGCTACTGCAGTAACTATGCACGGGTTGTATTTATAATTATTTGTATGAGGGGATTTTAAATGTTAATCAGGGATTTTGACAAAATCAATAAATGCAGGCATGTGGATTGAAAAAAGTTAATAAATGTTGATCAGGAGATTTTGACCAAATCAATAAATGCTGAGGTTTTTTTTTTTTTAAATCAAAAATTTTAAAAATTAAGATTGAGAGATTGGAGCTCTCATAAGGCTTGGGGTTTAGAAACCCCATTTTCCTTAATATATTTACAATTATTTATATATGTGAATTGCGATTTTTAAATATCTTATTTTTTTTAAATATCTTATTTTTTTTAAATGTCTTCTTTTTTTCCTTTTTTATATTATATCAAAGTTTAATATTTTGATAATAATTATATGTGTTGGACTTTTCAAGGAATTAAATGTCTTCTTTTTTTTTATTACATTATATTAAAGTTTAATATTTTGATAATAATCATAAGTGTTGAACTTTTCAACAAATTTTTTTTATACTTGTTCTTAATGCATTAAAATGTTATTATAAGGGATAATAATCATATGTGTTGAGACTTTTCAAGAAATTTATATGTGTTGGATTTCAAAGAATTTTTTTTTATGTTTGTTCTTAATGCATTAAAGTGTTATTATGAGGGTAAGACTTGGGGATTGAGAGAAGTTAATAAATGCTAAGGTTTTTTTTTTTAAATCAAAAATCAAGAAACTTAAATTGGGAGATTGGAACTCCCACAAGGCTTGAGATTAAAAACCCCATTTTACTTAATATATAGTATAGATAAGCCTCACATTAATTGACATGGGTTTAAAACTCTAAACAAGTTGAGTTGAGCTTGTTTACCGAGCTCTAAAATTCAATTCGAGTTCGGCATGATAATTAATCTATTTTAAGCCAACAGCTCATCTCATTAATGCTGATCATACTTGAATTCGTCTTAAAATTCGATAATTAATTTTTTTTACTATTATTTTATTTAGTTTATAAATAATATATTTATCTTATTATTTATAAACATGTTTACATTATTTTATATATAAATAATATATTTATCTTATTATTTAAATAAATGATATCATGACTGAGTTTCATGAGTAGAGTTTTTTGAGCTTAAAATTGGATCATTTATTAAATGAGCTTAAAGGCTCAAGTTCATTTATTTACGTAACAAATTGAGTCCTTGACGAGTGGAGTCGAGTTTGCTAACAATTGGATTTATTTAGCCTCCGTTTGGCAAGCAAAAAGCCAGGCTTTTTTGGCTAAAATAGCCACAAAAAACAAAATAGGCTATTTTAGCCACAAAAAACAAAACATCAAATCCAACCCATAATCATTACAATCCCCACTCACAAAAAAAACCAAAAAAGCCAAAAAGCCCTTCCCAAACCAGGCTAAAATAGCCCAGGCTAAAATAGCCAAAAAGCCAAAAAGCCAAAAAGCCAACCCACTTCCCAAACGGAGGCTTAGAGCCGTACATTAATCCCACACCAATGAATGGTATAGATTGCTTTTACGGCATTGCCACAAGCACCCCATCCAACCTTGCATGTATCATTTTTTGGGCATGGGCCGAGCATCGATGTAGCCGAGGTTCAGATCCCTTTCTATGGCCCTGGGCTTTCGACCAAAGCCTTACGCAGGAATCAAAGTAATATTAGAGATGTCAAATATATTTACAATAGTTTAGTAAAAAAGTACAGGCTCACATAAGTAAGTATGTGATAAATTAAAAGTTGATATCTATCATTTTATATTTTGTAGATGAATTTTTTTTTTTAAAAAAAAATTAAGAATATCAAATATTTTCTATTTTAAAATAACATTTTTGCCTATCAAATTATACTTTAATGGTTACATCTGAACAACTATCCTCAACTGAACTACATCACTTTTATTTGTCATTGTTTTTTATTTTTTTATTATATCTATTATTTTTTAAAAATTAAAAAGTAAATTTTTTTAGGATAAACTGCACTGACATCTCTTGAGAAAAAAAAAGAAAAAAAACAAAGAAAATAGAGTTCTTTTAAAATCTAAATGAGAGCTGTCCTATTTATAGATGGAATGGTGGCTCTAGGTTTTTGAATTGAACAGGTATGATACCTGTTGGTTTTGAATTCAAACAGATTTGAATCTGTTGGGTTACAATTCAAACAGATAAAAATAAATAAAATTAAATTCAAATGTTTTTTACCTAAAAAGATTAGTATTGGGCCGGACAAACCCAATCCAACCACACACCACGCGCCCAAGCCCAGCCCACCCGACCGGACGAACGGCGGCGCACGCGTGTGGTGGTTTTTTGAGTCCAATGGATCTAGCCCATTTTGGCCATAACCTCTCCCTCTAAAACACTTGGGTATCCTTTGGGGCACACCCCAAGTACCAAACCCATGCCTTATAAACCCTTTCAAAACCTCCCACCAAATCAACGTGGGACAAGCCTTATTCAAACCTTTAAGGAATTTCCACCAAAACTCCATTTCCATGGTGCACACTTTGGCTTCAATTTCCCATTCACTCGGTAATGGTTTTGAGCAACCAAATATACCACGTGAATCACAACGCGGCATAAAACGCGTTACCACTTTGACCCGTGAAAATCGACGCACGGGGTCCACTTAAAAAATAGACCGAACTTAGGAAAAAATTCTGGTTTTATCCAGAATTTTATAACCATTTCCAACAACATGTATATTTTACCTTGTATATTGTTGTATTTTGATATCATATGCATCAATTTTAGACTTTTAATTTTATTAAAATAAATAACAATGTAATTAAATCAAAATTGTGGAATTTATTGTATTTTTTAAAAATTACGTCGGTGTAATTTATCTAATTTTTTAATACAGTTTTTTTTAAAAAAAAATAAATAAATCACAGACCCAAAAATTTTAAAAATAAAAGTTATTTTTCAGCTGGGTTCCAAACTCACTCTGCATACATGCATGAAAGATTTGGGGTTGCAAACGCAATGCAGCATCGATCGCGAAATGTGAAGTGGGAAGATGAAAGTTTTGCATAAAAAACCTTAGTAGATTACAATTTTCCAGGTACGCCCTTCAATAGAACAAACAATTTATTCTATTTCCAAAATTTTCTTTCTTCATTCACCCAAAATTGACTTTCTATTCTAGGGCTTCATCTCGTTTCCCTCTATCTTTCTTATCTGTTCATGTATCTATCATATATGGATTATGCGTCTCCAATCGTATGGATTTTGTTCATTTAAAAAAAAAATCATTTTTTGGGTGTTTCCTTAGAAGTTAAAACAATTTCTAAATTAGGTGAAAAATGATAAGAAATTAAGAAAAAAATTATCATTTCTTATTAAAAGTGGTATTTAGTAAGATTTAATAAGAAACAAGCTGGTTGATTGCCGTCGTGTTTGGTCGGAGATTTGAGAAGATATTTAAAAGAAAAATAAAAAAATTAATGAAATTAAGTGAAATATAAATACATTTTATTTACGTCTTATTACCTTTTTCATTTTCTTTTTCAAATTCAATCTCAAATCCCAACCCAGCATGAGTAACTTTTTATAATATCAATAATATTATCCTATGAGCACTTTTTATAACATCAATATTATTATCCCTATATCTCATTCTTTACTTTTTTTAACCAACTGGAAAAAAAAAATTAAATAAATAATTTATTTGTTTCTTAGCTAGGTAAGAGATGACAATAATTTTTTTTTTTTTTTTTCCTTTTCTCACCCATTCAAATCCAAAGGGAGTGTAATAAATCTCTGCTGTACGGATTCAATTTCTTTTTCTTTATCCCCTGTTTCACTTCTTCCATAATTCATACCATATGATAAAGTTATATTCAAACAAAAATTAATATTTTCCAGTGCTTTTTATTGCCTAATGTAATGCTTCTCCATTACAAATACGTTATGACATTGAACGTATAGTGCTGTTAATTCTGGATAACTGAATTAATCTTTAGAACAACATTGGACCAATGTGGTAACTTATTTTTTAGTTGACTTTATCAGTTGACAACTGTGAACAGCGAAAATATGCCGATGGCTTGTGTTACAATTGTAGATCCATGTTGGTATTGTTGAATATTTGATAATGTCCTAGTGAACATAACTTTAATAAAATACTGTACTGAACTTCGCCTTTCTATTGGCTAACAAAATTTTATCAATTTTTACTCGATTTATATGTTATGTTTGTATCTTGGATTTGTCCAGAAATAGGGAAATGAAATTACTTGTATGTATATATATCTTCTTCTTTTTTCTTTTTCTTTTTTTTTTTTCTTTTTTTTTTAATGAATATACAAACTGAAAAAATGGATTTCTTTTGGCAAATGAATATTCTTTTTCTTACTTACCCAAAAAAAAATATTCTTTTTCTTCTCATTTTTCTAATCCGTCCTAACAAAAGTAAGGAATTTCGCTTCTTTCACTTCAGTTTCTTTTCGCATCTTTTCCATTTCTATTTTCGTTCCCTTCACAAATCCATGAATCAACCATAACATAAGTAAATTTACGATGAGGGAGAATTATTATGAAAACTCGATTTTCATTCAGCCGAAGAAGGACCCGGATAATGTTTTGTTTGCTCCTTTAAAGGATAATAGTATTTTGGGAAATGCAAATTGCTCTAGGTCATTTGGTCAGTCTTAAAAAACCACAGCAGGTTGTTGTCACAGAGCTTGCAGGTTGGGGAGTTAGAGGCTTAGGGAATAGAAAGAGGAGAAAGAGACCACTCTTCTTCATTATTGTAAACTCACGATTCTAAACTCCATGTTGGAGTATGAATATGTTAGTGCTAGGACTAAGCCTTAGGTTGCTAATTCATGACTATGTAATGTGTACCTTGGGTAGAACCCAAGCCACTACCGTCAGGAGACAAAGTCCTAAAACCTTGAAAGTCTAGAGTGCTATGTGAGAACTTCATTGGCATGGAAGATTCAATGGGAGAGCTTCATCAACACCAAGTTTGCTTTTAACAAGGCTAGGATCAAGAAGACCTTGAAGAGTGGACACCATTGTTCATTTGGTCATCTTGGTTGATGAAAGGTAGTCTAGGTCATTGGTGAAGATCTACATAGGGTGGTTGACCTAATTGGGTCCAAATTGCGACAGCCAAACATGTCATTTGCTCATCCAGAGTGTGGATCACTCTACAGTTGGGGAAAGGCCCACACTTCACATAAACTAATTCACTTGGATCTCATTTTGTTTTTTTCCCCAAATGTGGATGGTAAATTGGTGAGATTTTGCCGACCAAGGCTTACTGTGGGCCGGCTCATGCTTGGCTATTTTCTTAAACTAGCTGTTGGTTGTGAAAACTTTAAACACTGTGGCACCTCCACTTGGTATTCTTGATGAGAAACAATCTATTTGAGAACTAAAGCATCTCTACACACTCTACATCACATCTCTTTTAGGTTTCCTACCTTATTTGAGTGAGTGTAAGCATGTGAGACATTCATTGCACCATTGGCAGAGAGTTGAAAGTTTCCATTGAAGGTATATCTATTCATCCTAATGCTATACACACTCGTTTGTACAAACTATTGCCAATGCCATCTTATACACCTATACTTTGGTCTCACATAGAGACATCCTAGGAAACTTTTGGAGTCTTGATGACCATCTTAGTTTATGTGTTCGGTGGTTGTGTTTTTGGTGGTTATTCATTTTGATTTGAGCCAATAAAACCTTATTGTCTATGATTGTAATTTTCATGTAAAGGTTGAAGGTGATTCTAGAGAAAACTTAAGTTGACTTGTAAAGTTTTGGTATAACCTAGGAAAACCCGGTTGTCTAATTTAGTGGATTATGCTGGCAAGGTAGAGTGGGAGTGCATTGACATTTCACCTTAAATAGTGTCCTCCATCTAGTGCTCCCTGAACATGCGCACGGGTGTTCAAACTGTGATTGTAAACTTGCTCCATAAAGCATGTCATGCACCTGGAAATGGAATCTTAATCTGATGGAGCTAGTAGCCATTCAATCTATGTTCAACTCTTCTTTAAAATTTCTTATTAGAAGTAATGGTTTCATTGTTTCTTATATCATGCATTATACACATGCAAATCTTGTTTTCATATTATTTAGACTTCTATTTCTATTATGCATATCTATGATGTATATTCTTATGCTTTTATATATAGAAATGCAAGATCCAAGTATACTGCTACCTGAGGAAGGTTAAGTAATTCCCAATTCACGAAAAAAGAAACCCTCAACCCATAAGGCTTCCACGTTTCAACAAGGTCTCAATGTGAAAGGGTTCCAAGAGCTGTTGCCGCTTCTTCAACTCAAACAGGGAAGAAAGCCTCCAAAAGAGGGTTGAAGAAAGAAGTTTCTTCCCCATTATTCCAACAACCCGTGAACTCGCCCTCCGATTCATTGCTGGACTCCTCGTCTGCATCTGGAAATGAGTACTGGGCACTGAGACGAAATATTTGATGCTGGAGGAAGAAAGCTTTGGGCTAGGGGGAGAGTTGAGAGAGGTTGAAGATCAGGTCAAAACCCTTGAAGATGAGAAGCTTGAGCTCTTGAATGAGCTTCTTGTGTTAGGACTCTTTGATCCTTCAGAGTTGCAGTCTCAGGGTGAGCGTATTGTAACTCCTGAGTCGATAGCTTCTGTTTTTGTTTGATAATTGAAGTATATATTGATTTGAATGGATAGACATTTGTGAAACATGTTCATGGTTACTATCTGTACAAAATGAGGTTAAATTCTAGTTCAGTAATTACCCATTAATTACAATTATTTTTAGCTCCTCCTTTCTCCCTCTATGGCATTTATCCCAGAAAGTCACATTTAGTACACTTTCATCAATTAAGGACTTGAAAAAAGGGACTCCAACAACTTCCCTTTTACCTTTTTTTTTTTTTTTTTTTTTTTTTTTGTTTGTGTGTATGGCTGTGAGAAGTTTGATTGATATAAATGATCGTGAATTCTCAACCAAATCAAAATGATCAAATACCCATACTGCCTTAAGTTTGTATTTTATTGCATTTTGGTCCTCAAAATATGCATTTATTTCATTTTGATCCTCAAAGTTTGCGCTTTGTTTACATTTTAGTCCCAACCTTTTAATTTTATTGCATTTTTATGTAAAGTTTCATAAATAGCCCTCTTCCCATTATTAATTTTGAACGGCCTTGCTGCTAGGGACTAAGGTGCAGCAGATTGCATATTTTCGGAACTAAAGTATTATAGATTACATACTTCAGAACTAAAGTGTTACAGATTACATATTTCAAGGACAAGTAGTGCAATTAACTTCTTTTATCAGTTGAGTAAGTTCACATAATCTATTGAGGAAGAAAAACTGAAGAATTGTTTTATATTCCAATGGCGAAAATTAAGGCAGTGATTGTGACAAAGTTGGTAAAGAGAAGAAAAGATCAAGAAATGGTCAATTATAGTTAGTAGTGAAAAGGAATTATTGTCTAGAAGTCATCTCATCAGCCACTCTGATGATTTAAGCACACCTAATGATTGAAACAAGTATCAAAATCAAGACAATATTATGATAGTGCTGGTCATAGGAAGCGGTCAGTCAACTAACCATTTAATTATCAAAAAAAAAAAAAAAAATTGACAAATAAACTAACCCTTTAATCATCTTCATTCAAACTCACAATTTAGAGGCCATTGCTCCTCCACTCAATATATTTCACAGTACCATAAATTGTAACAGATTATGCTTCAGCAGCACCAATATTTCTTTGCTCTACAATCCATTCAAGAAGATCAGATAATTTACACAGTATCAGCAAGGAAGGAGCAAAAAAATTCAGCAATCACAATATATGACGAGAAAAAATTAATCAATTTGAATTTATATTGCTTGTATGTTGGTTTCTTTTAAACATATGATAGAAATTTCAAAGAAAATAACTAAACTGTGATTGACAATTGATATTTGATCTTCAAAGTTCCTATAACAATTTCTTCAATTTCAGCCCTGTCATCTGAGTAATCCCAACTTGGAACGTGTGTGACGGACCACCAGCGGCGTGGTTACCCGTGATTTTCTGCTTCTCCATGTCAAGAACCCAAATGCATAGGCCTCTGATGGAGCTTCCGCCTTGAAATTCACAGTGAAACTGATCTTCTGACCGTACCTGTTGAAGACTAACAACCTTGGCACAACTGTCACATTGATTCCCATTGGAGACAAGACTAGAGCTCTATAAACGCTTTTTCGGTCCCCAACATTTGTCACAGTTCGCGTTACTGAGAAATTGTCCTTAAGATTGGGTACTGTGATAGATGGATAATTGAGGCCATTTGGTGTTGCAAATGTTTGATTACATGTGCTGTTGTCTCTTGTTATCAGATGCAGCATTCTCTCATTGTAACCAATTGAACAGAGAAAAGCTTTATAATCTGTTGGCTGTGTGTCATAGATAAGCCCGGGATTTAAGACTCTAGTTGGGTTCACAAAGCCAGCACCATAGTCAAACGCGTTTCCCCGCCTTCCTTCAGGGTCGACTGTGATCGGTCTGTGATGCTTGTCTAAGGCGGTAGCTGCATTTTGCAATCTCAGAATTTTGAGAAAAAGCTAGTTGGCATAATTGATAGTCCTAATAGCAACTCTGGTGTAGTATTTAGGTGTAACATGCTAAAATAGCACAACATAACATAAAACACTCATTCCAACAGTGTAGTATATGCAATAGCACTGTGCTATAACCTATGCCAACAGCAGATAACACAGTGCTATTATATATTACGCCAATAGAGAAGCATGCAGTAAATCCGTATAAAGTGTGCCTTTGATGTGCTAAAATAGCACAAAAAATACTACACCAATGGAGAATGCTATAAAACTGGCCCAATGCTAAACAGAATCAATTCTGAGATTCAACACAGACATGACACGCACATAATAATCATACTTGATAGTGATGAAAAAGATCAGACTTAAACAACTTTCAAAGCTGTAAAGCTTTCTTAAGAGAAACTTGATCACATTAAATAAGATACATATATATGTGTGTATATAAAAAAATTGAGCTTGTTTTGAAACACGCGAAATTTACCAGTTGTCATGATTGCAGATTTGATAGCAGATGGAGACCACAAAGGATGCACAGCTTTGATCAAGGCTGCAATTCCTGTTATGTGTGGGCAAGCCATGGACGTGCCAGACTGAATGTTAGACTGCAATTTTCCAATTGCTGGCGACCAGGCTGCTAGGATATTTAATCCAGGAGCTACGACATCGGGCTACAAGGAAGAACAATCAGAAACAAAGCATGATAAGAAATCGAGAAAAAAAAAATGCAACACGGATTGCTAGAACAAAAATTCACCTTCAGAATTTCTGGGGTTAACGCATTTGGGCCTTTTGAAGAAAATGCTGCAATTTGAGGAGCAGGTTGAGATCCTAAGACGGTCTTCGCAGAGAAAATCCTAGCCATTGGCTTGCTGTTCATGACGAAAGAATAGCTTAGCATAAAGAGAAAAAATAAGAAAAACGAATACTGATGAATCTCTGTCATGGTTAAGTACAAAACAAACCGTGTATGCTTAATGTAAGTCAGGATCTTGTTTCCTTTTTTTTTTCCAACAATAGCTGCCGGGATTACAAAGGGAATAGCGACATCTTTATCTGTTTCATCTACAAGAATCATCCCCACTCCACCGGCTGCTTCAACTGCTTTGCTTTTTGCCAGCTTAGACTCGGTTGAACTTTCAGCGTGTTGGCATACTAGAACCTTCCCTCTGGCCTTAGTACTATTCAATGAACTCTCCAAACAGTAACTAAAGGAACATGTAGGAAAGACAAAAAAATAATTTAAGCATTTCCCATAATGCATAGGTGTTTAGATTGTACTCACAGCTAAGTACCTTTTGATTCACCTGGATTGATAAGGAGTGAAGTACCCAGCATAGGCTTCCGAAGCAGAGATGATCCTTGTGGAGGTGCTCATTTGAAGTAGACTGAGACTTTCACCCTACTCAATCACCAAACAAAAAGAGTTTCAGAATCAGTGTAATGATACCAAAAGTCCAGAAATAAATGGCATCACCGTGATGTTGATGGCGTCTCCAAGCATGATATTGGATGCAAAGTCACGGTCTGTTGAGCTAGCACCAACAGTGATCATCCACGGAGCAAGGTTTGTTGCAGAACCCTGGTTTCCCTCATTTCCAACTGAGGAAACCACCACAATTCCATGGCTAGCAGCATGGAACGACCCCACTGATATGGCATCGCTGAAATAATCTCCCTGAGGAGAGTCAGGACCCAGAGACAGAGACAAAATATGAATCCCATCTCTGATAGCATCATCGAATGCAGCCAATAAATCAACATCGTAGCAGCCAGAGTCCCAACATGTCTTGTACACTGCAATTCTGGCCATTGGTGCACCTCCTCTAGCTCCACCGGCTGCCAAACCATTATAGTTCATGTTTGTCACGAAGCGGCCGGCAGCTATGGATGCTGTGTGGCTACCGTGACCAGAGCTGTCCCTCGGGGACCTGAATGACATTGTCTTGATCGGATCTTCTTCAGCCTCATACCCACTCAAATAAAATCTTGCTCCTATTATTTTCCTATATCATGACAATTTTAGCTTGAGGGTTGGGGTTCAACAAACAAACAAACTCCAAGATTCACAAATTTGGGTACCAAAAAAAATCGAATAAAATACCTGTTGCAAGTTGAAGCATTGAATCCTTCTCCTGATTCGCATTTCCCTTTCCATTTAGCCGGCACTGGAGGCATGTGAGCATCACTGAAACTTGGGGATTCAGGCCAAATTCCTGCTTTAAGCAGTGCTTAAAATTAATTGCAATTTCATAGGGTCTGAGAGAGATATTTTGCTATTCAATATGTTTCACAACAACTTGAGAGTTGTGTTTGTGAAAAAGAACTCTACGACAATCTTAACAGTGGCAAGAGAGACCGGCACGCCTTTGTTAGCAAAAACAGTGACAAAGAGAGGATTAAAAAGGAAAGTGGACTAGAATGAAGAGTGTTTTTTGATTAAACAAAATGAACCTATAATTTCTAAAATCATAATGAAAAGTCTCATTTTAGTTCGAAATCATAATGAAGAGTGAGGAAGGGCATTGTTAGCGCACATACTTGTGACTTCAAACAAACAAGGCATCAAAGAAAATGATAGTGGGTACTCATTAAAGATTGAGCAAGTGTTGTATTCAATGAGCAGAGAGAGTCAGTTTGTTTTCTACTCCTAATCCTAGGAAGAGCCCAGAGGTCATGTCTCCATAATGAACTAATAAATGAACATTGTCTAATTTGTGCATACACATACAGTGATACTAATCAATGAAACCAATTTTTCTCGATAGAAAGGGAAAGACAACTAACCGGTATCAATGAAGCCGATAACGACATTAACTTGGTTCTTGGTGGAATACCCAGGGATTTCCATGGTTTCTTCTCCCAAAAGACCCATGAAATCCCATGAATGAGTCGTGTGAAGCCTCCTGCGGTTGTTTGGAAACACCGACACCACTCCAGGCATCTCTGTGTTCCAATTTTTAAAACCATGACATTGATTTTTCAGAGCCATGGATATAAATCAATCAATTATGATGAGAAATGGTAAAGATAATAGTAAATACTACTATTGTATTGACATACTGGCAATTTCAGAAGCTTGGTCCTCTGTCAACCTGGCTGCAAAGCCTCTGAAACCATGTCTGTAACTGTAGACATGAGATGCCCTGGCTTGTTCAACACTGTGTCACCAATTGAATGATTCAATCAGCACAACCAAACAATCCTCAATAAGAACAAGAAGATGAAAACAACAATAACATCAAACCCAAAAAAAAAAAAAAAAGGAATTTGAAAACATGGTGGCGTACAGTTGAAAAAAAAGAAAAGAAAGAGAAAAAGGGAACGTTGGGTGGACCTTCCACCATGAAAATCAGTGAGGAATTGGTGGTTCTGAATCAAAATCTCATCTGGGTCATGACCATCTCTGCTTCCCATATAGACCACATAGACCTGCACACAAGACAAAGCTCGACCCAGTAACATAAATCCGAAAACAAGAAAACAAAAACAAAAAAGTAGAGTGAAAATATCATATCTATAGCCATACCTTAGCAGAATAACAGAGGGCAACTTGGGCAAGGAAAGCACAAAGGAAAAGAAAAAGAATACCAATATTAGTAATAGTGGTGTTTCTGGATGAAGCCATTCCAAGCACTGAAATGGGAATAGACAGAGGATGGAAAAGAGGAAGATGGGTTTTTTGTTTTTAATAGCACAGAGAGAGAGAGAGAGAGAGAGAGAGAGGTTTGAGAGAAGTGGAGATTGGGGGGTATTGTTGACACAGACATATGATGGAGTAATCTATGTAAAAAGATTTAAAGATGCATCCATGTCTGTATAGATGTATGTATATATGGGTCCAAGATGGTACAAAAGAGAGTGAAGTGGAAGCCAAATGAAATGTGAAGAGAGAGAGAGAGTGGTGTGTGAGTGGGGAAGGAGTTTTGTTAAAACTGAAAAGGCGGCAAACCATAATTTTTCCTTGGACGACGTGCTTGTCAGGAAGTGTGGACAGAAACGAAGCGACCTGATAGCTCATGTCAGGTACGAACCAGTAGGAGATGGACACGTGGACGAAACGGTTGTAAAGGCAATATGTGACAACTTATTGTGGCTTGCTTTTCGTGCTCCTTTCGGATACGATAGCACTACAGTTCGAACTCATGTGGTTCTGAATCTAATCTGACAAGTGCAATGTGAAATAGATAAACACAAAAGAGTCTAAATCCGACAAATCTTTTGGAAAATCAATTTTGAATCAAAATGCCAAAAATGCAAGGCAAAACTTTATCAAAACTTAATAACATAACTTTATTAAAAATACCACTCACATAGCTCTTCAGACGTCGGGGTCAAGG